ATAACATGTGTCTCTTTATTAATAATATTAATAATAATAATAATGAGTTGATAAATGTTACTGATGTTTCCACGCAGAAAGCCGACTGTTTTTGGTCAGCCGCGTGACAACAAACTAAGCATTATGCGATATTGGCCTTATCAGCCGCCTCGCTTCATCCGCACCTCTCTCATCCCTCTATCCGGCTTCTCCCTCAGCCATGACGTCATCTGACTACGTCACGAGTCCGACAGGAGGCCAGGCCGAGAGAGGCGTCGTCGTTGTCTCGAGAAGTTGCGGAAAGAAAGACTTCATCGACATCTCAAGCTGGGCGGCGACAGGGGAGGGGGAGATTGTATGGGGAGAGGTAGATACAATAATGTAACCCAACAAGAGTAGGGGGTTGCATTATTGTAAGTTTGTTGTGACGTACTACTAGTTGAGACCCCTACTCTTCTTGGGTTGCATTATTGTATCTAAGGGAGAAGGTGAGCGAAGGAGGAATCGTTTGAGAATAAACGCACACGTTCTGACACTGTTACAGTCTTCATCGTATAATTTATACTCGCTGCATCACTGCTACACTGTGTGAGGAGGTGTATGGAGGAGGAGGAGGAGGATGGAGGAGCTTGTAGAAGGTTTATGTGTGTGAATGATGTCACTTTCGTTCTTCCCTGTACTGCATGACGTAGTTGACTCTCTATCAGTCGTACCTCACGTTAGTCCGGAACTGCGCCGACAGATGGCGCCTGCATCTGATAGGTAAGCAGCGGCGATGAGCGACGCTTGATCGGTAAGTTTGGCTGAGAGGGTCTATGTCCCCCAGGGTACCGCCGGAACGTACCCTATGTACGGTCCGATATACCGGAACGTACCCTGGTACTATCTAATATGCCGGACCGTACCTCGCCTACTCCACTAACGAGTCCAGGGAGTCGTCTATGCCTACTCCCTAACCCTAACCCTAACCCTAACCCTAACTCTAATTTCCTAACCCTAACCATATCAGATAGCTACCAGGGTATCGTTCTGGTATACCGGACCGTACCCAGGTTACGTTCCGGCATTACCCTGGGGGACATAGACCCTATGAGCGTAAGTTTGAGTTCTCGCATTCTCTCCTTTCGTTAGTCTGCTTCGATTCATGATCACGTTGTTCAACTCTGCATTTGATTCCCGTTTTTATCCGGCAATTGTTTTGAGACTTGCTATAACATGCGTTCCTACTTTTTCGGTGCAGCCGTCCGTCCTACCAGAGAAATGGGTCCCGAGCCAAACGGTATGTACCTGCTATGTCTGTGTCTATCTATATCTATCTATCTATCTATCTATCTATCTATCTACCTACCTACCTACCTACCT